TAATTATATGCTGCATTGTACTAAATACTTTACATGCATAGTCTCACACATTCTTCTTAACACTTCTATTAGGCAGGTCATATTACCGTCTGTTTCCCAGTTGAGGAAACTGTGGCTTAGGGAGGTTAAGTAATTTGCCCAAGTTCACAGAGCTGGGACTCACATGATTCCAAGTCTTTTCCTAACTATTAAGATATAGTGCTTCAAAATGTCTAAAAAGTAAGAGGAAATGCATGATAGTATCCAATCGTCACCTCTTTACAAGCTGTTTATCTTTTCTAATCATAACATTTTATTTGATACAACCAAATTTGCTCCCTCAAATTGCCTGTTTGTTTTCCCATTCTAGCAAAAATTAATTTTAAATATGTCTAGATTATCTCCCATCTCATCTAGCTGCCCAGCCTCACCTCCTTTATGGTATACAATATCATTGTGTTCCTCCCTCATATCACCTTTAAATGTTTCACTCAAATCCTAACTCTCCCCAAAATCCCTTTCTTTTCCAAAACCAGGGATGGGGAGTCAGAATAAAAACTGGAACCCTATTTCTCTTTTCCTTTTCTTGCAAAATTTTAGGGGCTGCTTTTTGTTCTTTATGCTGTGACTCCATTTCCTCCCCACTCACAAACACCTAATCCCCTACAGTCGGGCTTCCACAGCACTCCTGAAACTCCGAGGTCATCGATGCCCTGCTCATGAAATCCAAAAGGCATTTTCTCAGTCATCAATTTTTACTCTTCTGCAACATTTGTCACTATCGGTTAGCTTTATATTCCACTAAGTTATTTTTCCTTGGCTTTCAAGACATTACGAGGTTCTGCCCCACCTGACCCTTTCCCACCACTCTTCCATCACTTTTGTAACCTCCACCTCCTGCTGCTCCCTTGCTGTGGGTCTCATCTCTGCCTGTGCCACACACACAGGGTCCACTCAAATATTTGTGGAATGAATGAACAAGCTCACATGCTTCTAGTCTTTCTCTCTCCACCAGATACTCCTCCAATATTATGGATTCAACTACCATCTCTATGCAGATGATTAACAACAATGGGTATCCACAAAATCTACAGCTGCCCTTGGTATCTCCTGCACTGATCTCCAAGCCAAATCTCAGATCTCTACTTCCAACTTCTACTGACCACTTCTTGTTGGCCTTTCCATTATCTTTTTAAACTGAACTTATCCAAAATAAATCTCATGAATCTTTTCTGTAGTCTCTCTTTCCCAGATTGGGAATTGTGTTTTTAAAAATCACCATTATTTCCCCTACAATCTAGGATCATAAACATTTCTTCTTGCTTTTGTCCCCAAAAGGTTTGAGGTTGCAAGGCAGGTCTATAGAGGTTGGTCCATTTATTTGAATCCCTCTGCTCTGGGCCTCAGGTGGGAGCCCCTGAGTGAACAGTGATGCCTCTTTGTGAAGTGAGTGACCCAAGACTTAGCCTCTGTCCAGACGTGAATCACTGGACGTGGTGTACTCCTGCATTTTCTCTTCCCAAGTAATTCTTGAATAAACAACTTGTATTTTGATAATCCTCTAAATTCTATTTACAACCATGAGGCCTTCACGATAAGAACAAGATTCAGAGGGATTAAAAAAATACAAAACAAAATCCCAGACAAGGCCTCCGTTGCTTCTGAAACACCCACCCCACCCCCTACTAGTTCTGAGTGTTCCCTATTCTATCTCCCTGGCCAAAAAGAGACCACAAAAACAAAAGTCCCTAAAGGATTTCATCTGAGCTCCTATTTTGTTCTCTTAGTCCTTCAGTTCATCTTGCCTCACACATCATGAAGAATATGAATCCACAAAATGAAGGACACTGTGTCCTTATTTCTGCAGGGCAATTATTCTCTCCATCAATACTTCATTCTGCTGACTAGGTAGTTCACCTTCACTTTGTAACAAGCCCAGGCCACCTGACTTAAACACTTCTTCCTTAAAAGGGCCAGGTACCTCCCCCATACACCCACAGGTCTTTAAGCACCCCTAAAATAAGTTGTCTCATGATGTCTTCCCAGCCCTGGTATCTAATCAGCCCTTCTCTTTCCTGTGACTCTCCTACTCAGTTCAGGTTCTATTGCCCTAATTTTCAGACTTCTTCAAAGGCTTTGTCAGAGTCTCCCCACCGCCAGCCTCTACCTTCCCCCAAACTATCCTGCACAAGATCATCAGGTTAATACTTTGCTTTCTAGCTCCAAAACTCTAATGGCTTCTTATTGTCTACAGCACAAAGTTGAAAATACTCGCCTGAATATTTAGGACACTTCAGAAGATACCCCGGAAGACACTTCCTCTTCTCCATACACATATGCTTCATTACACTCTCCCCAATTGCCTCACTCTCCCAAATTTCTTCTCTACCTGGTCTGCCTAATTTTTAAACACTGAAAATAAATTCTTGGCCTCCAATCCCAATACCCCCTGTCTCTAACCTCCTGAAACATACAGAAGCAACAGTATCTTGGTACATAATCAGATACTGCCTTATATTATTAAGTCAATCAATGAGACTTGATTATAAAGTAATGAAATTGAATTCCACAAACCTCACTGTAAATCAATATCATTACTTTATACTACTAAACAGGAGTCAAAACTGGTGGCTTTGGGCAAGACCCAACTTCAGACCAGCTTTATGTGGGCCACAGAGCCTTTGGCTGGTTTAGATTTGAATTTGAAGAGGAACACCTTGTGGGAGGGTGGGGTGTTACATGCTCCACTTCACTCCAGCTCCCATCACTCACCATTATTTCAAACTCCACTGCTTCTGACAGTCACAAATCCTGCCTGGCCCTGAAGACATCCAAGTTTGCAACACCTTTTGGGAATCCCACTTGAAATATCTCATTTAACGTCTCATTGCCCCAGTAAGTCTGGAAACTTCAAGAGGGCACAGGATGTATTTTATACCCCTTAGTGTGACCCCTCCCTACCCCACAGGGTCCTGCGCAATACTGAGCACACAGAAGGAGTTTAACAAATACAAGTTGAGTAGGTCCATGTGAGGCCGTGGAATCAATTTGGTTAACTGCAGGGCTGGGAGGAGACCCAGTGAACAAAGGACGTCATCCTATCCCTTAAGCAACAACAAATGAGCTTTCATAATAAAGAGTTCCTACCGCAAATGCAACACTTCCAGCAATAACACCTACTGCCACTGCCTATGGTCTGTTCCTGGAAGTCATCCCAATAAAACAAGTATGATGTTTATCCCAGTTCAAAATTCCAATTTCAGTGAGTGTCAGTTCCTGGAGAAAAAGGAACAGGAAAGTTTATTTGGGGGTGGTGGGGAGGAGGGGACTTCCTAAAAATGCGGTTTACAAACATAACATTCCAATGACAGGAAATAAGAGCAGAAAGCCTCTCTTGTTGGCCTAAATAAAAAGTGGTTAATTGTTCCAACTTCTGTCAAGAGACCTCAGTTGCTCTGTTATTCTGAAATGTTCTGAGTTCATGTTTTTCAAACCCTTTAGGCTGAATTATCTGGGATGCCTCAAGGCCAACCCGGTGGCAGCCAAGGGGTGACAGGAAGTGGTACAGAGAACCTGAGATTTGGAAACAACACAGAGCAGGGTTTGCAAATTGGCTCTGACACTTGCTTTTCTGAGCCTCAGTGTCCTTAGCAAGAAATAGGGGGAGCAATGCTTTCCTCAAAAACTTAAATGAGATGAGAATAAGAATAGCTAATGCCCACTGAGTGCTCATTTTGTGCCAGGCACTGATTTAATGTACTTTAAATATATTCTCTACCAACAATAACATTATTAGATAGATACTATTATTACCTCCGTATTATACATAAGGACACTGAGACACAAAAAGGTTAAATTATCTGTCCAAGGCACTCAGCCTATAAATGGCAGAACTAGGATTTAAATCCAGGTACTAGGAGGGGTGCAGTGGCTCATACCTGTAAGCTTAGCACTTTGGGAGGCCAAGACGGCAGATCACTTGAGGCCAGGAGTTCAAGACCAGCCTGGGCAATATAGGGAGAGTTCTTCTCTATTTGTTATATTAAAAAAAAAAAAGAAAACAAAATACACACACACACACACACACGGTGTGGGTGGGGGGTGAGGTGGGGTGGTGCTAACGGATCACTCTAAAAGATGCAGAATCCCAAGGAAAAATTTTGGACCAGAAACTCCTCATTTCGTTGAAGAAGCTCCATCAACTCAGCTACCAAGAAAAGGATCCATCTGCACCAAGTAATAGCTCCTGTCCTAGACATGACCCTGTTTTGACCAAATTCCCTATGTGAAATTAAGCATAGGTTCTTTCCTTTGATAAACAAAGTAATTTTATTGCCATAATTTGGTGCCCCTAGATTCAGTGTGGAGGATGGAAGGCTCCCAGGCCAAAGGAACAAAGGGTTGGGGCTCTTCTCACTGTTGGCAGGGTTCCCAGCACAAGGGAAGAGAGGTCTCCCCAAGACCTGCAGGTCCCCCAAGTAGTGCTAGGAGGGGTCCCCTAACCAGAGAAAGACAGCAGTCCCATCTGGTGGTACTAGTGGGTTCTCTGGTCGCAGCACGGACTAGACGGCACATCCTGTTCCTCGGGATGCCCTCCAGAGAACCCAGCGGGCTCCTTTGATGGAACCAACTCGGGGGAGTACTGGCTATACTGAGAGTAGCCTGGCATTTGGGCACTAGGGCTGAACTCACACACATACCCATCAGTCTTCTCAAATTACACCTAAAACCAACCGCCTTTTTTATGTCAAACATATCAATTGTACTTTCATTTTTTAAAAATCTCTTTCATAATTCATGGCCTACAGGCTTCAGCTAAGTCAGGTGACCACAGAGACCTGGCCTCATTGTACAGCAGCTTTTGTTTGGAGGGCCTAGGTTCCACAAAGGATATTTTCTTAGGAGCCTCTGCAAACCAAGACCCCATGAAACATGCCCATAAAATATGCTCCACGCTTTGACAGATCTGCAACCATAAAAGTCAAGAAAGGAATTATAAACTGAAGCAAGACAGATGGGAATTATTTTTATGATGTTTAATGACACAGATCTTCCCAAAGTAATCCAAACCCCCAAACATCACAAAATTATTCATACTATTATATACTCCAAAAGCAAAATACTTCAACTGCAATCCTTGCCCCAGCATGATTCCTCAAAATTGAGATAACTCCTTGAGAAACAAAAAGTAAAAATGATAATAATTTAAGGAATAGAGTTAATAAATGCAAAAGTAGAGGGAAAAAAGTATAATTTAGTGTGAAAACCAAAAATGACTTTAAATAAGAATGTGTATTTAAGATCTTATTAAATTAAAGAGTTATGCTCAAACCATTTCAAAAAACACTGAATATTGAATGCATGGTGTATATTTTAACAATAAATGAAATGGGATACCAATTCATTAGGGCTGCTTTCCTTTAGCTGAGACTTATAGCATAACCTTAATGTAACACAATATTTTCTTATTTTTGATGACTACTTAGAGGTAACATCAAAATAACAAATTGACAACTATAGTTTCAGAGAGACTGAGAACATATTAGCACATGTTATTTAAGCTTGCTGTCGGCCTTGCCAAGGTGGAATACTGGTTGTGATACAAGTTGAGTCTCCCTCATCTTTAATGCTTGGGACTGACCAGAAGTGTTTTAAACTTGGGTTTTGGTTTTTGTTTTTGTATTTTGGAACATTTACATAAACACAATGAAGTATCTTTGGGATAGGGGATAGGACCCAAGTCTAAACATGAAATTCATTTATGTTTTATATACACTTTATACACATAGCCTGAAGGTAATTTTATACATGATTTTAAATAATTTTGAGCATGAAATGAAGTTTCAAATGCATTTGACTGCAACCTGCCACATGCGGTCAGATGTGGAATTTTTCACTTATGGTGTTATATTGGTGCTCAAAAAGTTTTGGATTTTGGAGCATTTCAGATTTCAGATTTTTAGATTGGGAGGTTCAACTTGGATATACCTTTATTTGGCTGAAATTCTGAGAAGAGGATAAATGAATTTTATTTTGTTGTTTTTGCTTTTGGAGTTCCTTTTCTAATTTTTAATTTCATTTTCTTAATTTACCTAATGAACCAATCCCTATGATCACAATGAGAAAAGAAAACTTGGCTCTCACTGAATCTTCTGAAAACTGAACAAGTTTTAGGGTAGTGTCTTACTCTATTCAGGCTGCTATAACAAAATGTCATGAACTGGGTAGTTTACAAACAACAGGAATTTATCTCTCACAGTTCTGGAAGCTGGGAAGTCCAAGATCAAAATGTCGGCAGATTCAGAATCTGGTGAGAGCCCTCTTCCTGGTTCAAAGATGGCGCCTTCTCGCTGTCTCCTCGCCAGTGGAATGGGCAAACGAGCTCCCTTGAGCCTATTTGTAGGGCACTAATCTCATTTATGAGGGGTCCACCCTCACAACCTCATCACCTCCCAAAAGGCCCCATTTCCTTAGAGATTAGGAGTTCAACATACAAATTTTGAGGGAACACAAACATTCACACTATAGTAGGGCTGGTAGAGGAAAATGCTATGTTATACTATGAAGAAGGGACATAAGTTTCCATTTTCAGACCCCTCTTCTCTGGGTCTGTATCAATGAAGACAAATGTGCCTCTAGTCTCCCTTTATCCCATCCCCTTCCTCTTCCTGCTCCCTCACACTGCGTAAGCATTTCATAAATGCACCTTCCTAACTAACTTTAAAACCTGGCATTGGCAGTCCTATCTGTAGAACCTATTTACTTAATGTGTAGTTCTTTTGGAGAAATATTTGAGGAAGGTTTTTTTCCTCATCTAAATTTACAAAGAATTGCTGGAACAAAGGAGTAGGAAACAGAAGGAGCAGTTTAAACTACACTCCAAAGGAGCTAGCCTCCTCTTACAAATTTATCACAGATATTCAACATTTAAAACAAGATCTGAATTATCCAGATGTAATGCTGTTTTCCAAGGTTTTTAGTGGACTTCATGTAAATCAAGCCTAACACTAAGAAATAAACAACAACAAAAAAGGATATACCAAAAAGAGAAAGTCAGGTTGACAGTCTTTTCTGGAGGATTTATCAGGTTATTCCTGTGAATAGCAACTTCCTCTAGCTCATATATAATTAATGAGAGAGAGAGAGAGAGAGAGAGAGAGAGAGAGAGAGAGAGAGAGACAGAGAGAAAGGGATCAGAAGGAAGAAGAGAGAAAGAAAGAAGTTTTCAAGAACACATCCACTGTCAAAAATGAAGAATACCTTAAAACGCATCTCGACATTTTTGTTAGAATTCTAAGAAGTGCTTTCCAAATGGATAAGCACCTGCCACCCAACTACAGTGCTTTCTCTTTCATGTTCAAAATAAACATGCAAAAACACAAATTTTCCAGCTTGACAAGAAAATGTGAGCCCCCAAACAGCAAACACTTTAATCAACAACTCTTACCTAGGCACAAAAGACTGAGTACAGCATTTGGTTTAAAGGGGATTAGACATCAGTGATTCAACATAGACAACAAAAATTATTCATTTCTTTAAGGATGCTTCAATTGTCGTAGTGAGTGAGCTCTTCATGATCCTCCTTCAGCTTTCATTAATTTCCCCTGCAAAATTTGAAGCAATACATTCTACATATGGTATTGAGAAAAAGGCAAACAATCAATACAAGTAAAGAGAAAAAGATAATTTCATACTACCCCAATCTTGGCATGTAGCTATGCCTTGGGATCACTTAGTCTCTGAGCCTTTTCCCTGGATTCCCACAATAGAATAACCCAGTGAGCAGAGTGAGCATCTGTGCAACCTTGGGCAATTTACTTGACGTCTTCGTAAAATATCAGGATGATGACAGAGTATCTACCTCTTACTATTATTGTGAAGAGTTAGCACAATCCTTGCTACATAGTAAATATGCCAAAATAGGTGCTATTCAGTTGACCTGTTAAACATGTTCCAATCAACTATATTCTACTGAACAAATTTCCTTCCTTCCTTCCTTCCTTCCTTCCTTCCTTCCCTTCCTCCTTTCCTTCTCTGTTCTTTTCTTTCTTTCGTTCTTTCTTTCTTTCATTCTTCTTTTTCTTTTCTTCCTCTTTCTTTCCTTCCTTCCTCCTTTCCTCTCCTTTCCTTCCTTTCTTTCCTTTCTTTGTGATGCAGTCTCTCTCTGTAATTTGGCATTGCACACTGGGGGCCATGATGTCATGGCAATCATGCCTTCCAAGAGAACTAGGGATAATCTGATGGGTTTCTTTGTGGGAGGTTTTGTTTGATTTTTTGGATGTTTGTTTTTTGTGTGGTAAAATTCACCAATTTTAAATATATAAGGGATACTCTGTTTATACCAAAACCACCAAGTCCCAAAAGATCCAGAAGTAGATGTATTCCAATCTCTTCAACCCATTTCTTTCACTCATTCCCTCGCTCTACCTGGTCAGATAATTTGACTTATTGTTTTTGGCTAAAGAATCCCTGACCTTTTTGTGGTAAGAATCTACTTTTTCATCTCCCTGGGATCTCGAGATCACTGGGGAGCCAGGACCTGGCAGCGAAACAGATATGGAGAAGGGGAGAGACAGGAATTGGTGCTGCCATTAGAAGAGAGTCCTCAAGAAAAGCCAGAACTGGGACACACCGTGGAAGCCACTGGGTTGTGTGTGGGGGATGCCTCCTGCCTGGGGTCTGTCCTCCCAACCCACAGGAGTGGCTCTGGCTGTCCTGTTCTAGTTATTTGATCTTGGCTGTTTGGATCTTTCCTGGACTCACTGAGATGGATGCTCAGCATCTTTCAGATAAATGCCCTGTTTGCTTAAGACTAGCCCGAGTCACTTGGGTTTTTTATAATCACTAAACCTTCACTAAAATGACCCTCCAGGATCCTAGCCTCTCCAGGAATCTATGACTCAAGAAGTGGTGTCAGGGAGGATGGTATGGAGACTTCCAGAGAGGGTATTCTAAACTTACGTCAAACCACTGGGTGGGAATTCCCGTTATGTATGAAACCTATTTTCCAAGACAGAATTGACGTGTGTTTTTCTTTTCTTACTTTCTCTCTATCCCCCGACATCAGTGTCCACATATCAGCTGGTTCAAGGCTCTGTGTAACTTGAGATTACCCATGTTGAAATTCAGCGTAATTTGGCATTTGATGATCATGTGGGCTATGTTCTGTATAACCACCTAAATAATTGCCTAGACAGCAATTACTTTAGTAACCAGAGAGTAAATGGCCCAGAATCCGTCCTTTAATCTAGCAAGCAGAACGTTCTAAGGTAGAAGCCTGCAGAATGGGCAATTACTGAGCTGTCCTGCACATTCCTCTGTGGTAAAGGTAGGGAGCCCTGGCCACCCCTAGGGCAAACCAACTTGTTCTGTAAAGCACGCGTGACCCTCAAACCAGACTTTCAGGAGACTGACTACAGTGAAAACTTAGCAGGTTATCCCATACTCCTTTATTGTTTAGAAAGATGCATAATTATTCTGATCCTGCTGACATGAGGACTATACATTACAAAGCTATAGGATCCTAGTGGGAGCCTTCTGAAGGCAATGCCCACAAACTCTGCTTGGGTTCCAAAGGGCCCTCCTTCACACACCTGCTCTTTCTCTGCAAGGATTTCCATGTATGATTACACTCAGCTTTGAAAATGCAATAGAATGTAGCGGTTAAGAGAATAAAGCTCCACCATTCACTAGCCATGTCACCTTGAGCAACGGACCTAAACTATGCCTCAGTTTCCCTAGCTGTAAGATGGAACTAATGATAGTACCTATCTCATCAGGTTGTCCTGAGAATTAGATATGAACTTGTTTAATACATGTGAAGTATGTGTACTAGTCTCAGCACTCAGGCTGCATGCCATAAGGAAGAGCAATGATTATTCTGAGCTTGAATGGAAAAGAAAAGAAAAGAATATATGAGAAACTATGATGTCCCACAATGTGGCTATTTGCCACAGATCTGAATTCCAGAGTTTCCTTGTTACATGCATTCATAATAAATGCATATTCAACATGCATTTATAAAAAGCCTTTACTGCAGCCAGGCGCAATGGCTCACGCCTGTAATCCCAGGACTTTGGGAGGCCAAGGCAGGCAGATCACCAGGTCAGGAGTTTGAGATCAGCCTGACCAACAAGGTGAACCCCTGTCTCTACTAAATATACAAAAATTAGCTGGGCGTGGTCGTGCACGCCTGTAATCCCAGCTACTCAGGAGGCTGAGGCAGGAGAATCACTTGAACCCGGGAGGTGGAGGTTGCAGTGAACCAAGATCACACCATTGCACTCTAGCCTGGGCAACAGGGCAAGACTCCATCTCAAAACAAAACAAAACAAAACAAAACTCTCTTTACTGAGCAGCAACCATTGTGGAGGGTCAGGTGATACAGGGACAGCAGCAGGGTGGAGATGGGAAGGCAAGTTCTTGTTCAGTGCACACACCTAGTACATGTGTTTGAAAAGTTAAATGTGATTCCATTGTATGGCACTAAATACTGGTTATAAAGCAGTGAGCAACAGAGACAGATTCTCTGATCTCATAAAGGTTTCATTCCAGTAGAACAGACAGATTTTAAACAATCAGCCTAGATAAAAATATAATAAATTGTGTTATAATTTATGAAGGAAAAATGCAGTGTGCTAAACGGTATGCATCACAGAGAGAGGGAGTGTCGTGTCGCAGAAAATCACGAGCCTGGAAGGACAAATAGAAGTTATCCAGGCAGAGTCAGGAAGACAAATTCCAGATGGAGAAAAACAACATGTGCAAAGACCCCATGGCAGGAAAGAGCTCGTGTTCAAGGAGCTGAAAGAAGGCTGGAAGGTCCATTAGACAAAGGGTGATGTTGGGGGCAGGAGAGATGATTACAAAAGGCAAGAGAACTGGAAGACACATGCATTGCCGTTATCAGAGCTCCATTATACAGAGCAAGGGAAGAACATAGTTCTCAAGTCTCCTCCAAGTCTCCCGTCCTCCATACTTTCTAGTTACTTCATATTGATAGGAGAAAACTGAAATTATTTTAGCAAACCAAGATAAGGAGAAGTATTTAAGCTGTTTACTTATATAAGACAGCAGCTTAAAAATATCTCTGTTCATGCAGTGGGTATTTCTTCAGAGGGTAGCTTGGTCTTTCAATGATATAATTTACTTCAGAGGTAGACTCTTCCTACAATAAAAACAAATCCAGCAATTATGTTACCCATAACATAATAGAGATGGATGATACCCAGAGGTGTAGTTTTGCATGTAGGAGGTCTGTGCATCCCATTTATGCTGTTATATGGGGTTCACTATATATGTGTGTATGTAGAATCTTTCTTTTTTTTGTAGAGACGAGGTCTCATTATGTTGCCAGGCTGGTCTTGAACCTCCTGGCCTCAAGAGATTCTCTCTCCTCAGCCTCCCAAAGTACTAGGATTATAGATTTAAGCCCCAAACCAGGCCTTTGTTTACATTTTAAAGAGAGTCCTTGCCTGAAAAGGTTGGGAATTAAAGCAAAGCCTATGACTTTGCAGAAAAGAAGTAAAGTAATTCACTACCCTCATGGTTAGGGCAAACAACATTTATTTTTAAGCATCATCCTGCAAATCTAGCATATGCCAGTATTTAATTAGTCAAGATAACTAATTCAAATACATGGCATCATTAAAGTCAGCCACTGGGGGCACTGTTATCCTTTATTTGAATTCTTTGGAGCTGGTAAACGGCCATTTAGCTGTGTGTCTGAAGCAGTGACAAAGTACTGGGAATACCTACCAATGGATCAGAAGCACTCCCCATACCCCTGTAAAAGTCATACAGCCAAAAACCACCTTATTAAATTTTAGAACAACTTTCTTCCATGTTGTGGCCTTACATAGCTCACACACAACTGTATTCTTCACTGGATTGGGATTCATGTGTGCAGGGGAAAAGGAGTGCTCTGTGGGCCAGTTAGCCTGCTTTCTCTTAGTCCTTTGAAAGGACCTCCGCTTGATGAATGCCGTGCACCAAATTAGCTGCTACTCCTCCGTTGCATCCAAGTCCCACTGTCTCATCCTCAGGAAGCCAGCCCTGACTCTCAGCCATGTCAAATACCCGCCACCATTCACTCTCAGGACAACAGGTAATCTCCTTGGTAAGCCTCACAATTTTTCACTTATCTCTGTGGTTATTTGATTAATGTCTGTCTCCCTGACTAGACTATAGGTCCCTGTTCCCATATTATTTAGTGAGCAGAGATTTAGTTTTATAAGAAAGTCTAACCTTATTTTGGTGCTGCTGTGCTCTGTGGGATGTCAGAAGACTACATACCCTCTCATGGATATTCTTCCAAGTGGACTGAGAACCAGGATGGAACCTGCTCAACAGATGGAACAGGGTGGAATATTAAGCAGCTACTAAAAAGGACACTTAAATAAAGCACATGACAATATGGATTGATATTTAAAACTTAATCATAATAAAAAACAGCAGCATGCAAAATGGTAAACATAGTGTGATTTCAATGTCTTTCTTAAACCTACCCATAGGAAAAGCACTGGGGAATAAAAACTGCTCAGATGTTAAGAATTTTTGGCCAGGCGCGGTGGCTCACGCCTGTAATCCCAGCACTTTGGGAGGCCGAGGCGGGCGGATCACAAGGTCAGGAGACCATCCCGGCTAACATGGTGAAACCCTGTCTCTACTAAAAATACAAAAAATTAGCCAGGTGTGGTGGCGGGCACCTGTAGTCCCAGCTCCTCAGGAGGCTGAGGCACGACAATGGCATGAACCCGGGAGGTGGAGCTTGCAGTGAGCCAAGATCGTGCCACTGCACTCCAGCCTGGGAGACAGAGCGAGACTCCGTCTCAAAAAAAAAAAAAAAAAAAAAAGAATTTTTTGTGTTTCTATGTGTGGCTATGAGTGATTCTTTTCTTCTTTGTACTTTCCTGTGTTTTTCAGATATTTCTCTCATGAACAAACCCTACTTTTACATTTAAAATTTTAATACAAAAACTTTTAATATGAAATTTAAATCCAAAAAATTTTAATATAAAATTTAATCCCAGTAGTTGTTGTTTTAGGGAGAGATTATCACCCAGGCTAACGTACAGTGGCATGATCATAGCTCACTGCAGCCTTGAATTCTTGGACTCAAGCAATCCTCCAACTTCAGCCTCCCAGGTAGAGAGGATCAACTAGGTACATGTTGCCATGCCTGGCTATTTTTTTTTCTTTAAGAGATAGGGTCTTGTTACCCAGGCTGGTCTCGAACTCCTGGGTTCAAGGGATCCTCCCACCTCAATCTCCCAAATAGCTGGTACTACAGGTATGCACCACCATGCGGAGCTAACTTTTAAATATTTTGTAGAGACAGGGTCTCCCTGTGCTGTCCAGGCTGGTCTCAAACTCCTGTACTCAAGTGATCCTCCTGCCTCAGCCTCCCAAAGTGCTGGGATTACAGGTGTGAGCCACTACACCCAGCCTCCAATCCTGGTTGTTTCCTACCACCAGGACTTTATCTTATATCTCATTTACTTTAGGCCACCCAGACTCCAAACTGAACCATAGGTTTGATAGTCTCTTTCAGTTCCCCAAACACAGAGTATTTTCTACCTTCCATAGGCATTTGGCAACACTGTTCCCTCTTCTACCTCCCAACCCTGCTCACTACTCTTATTAACTCCTACCCACCCTTCAGAGCTCAGTTCAATTGTTCAGTTCTCAGCAAAGTCCTTTCTGAGCCCTCTCCTGCAGAGGAGGTCAGCTTCTCTGTTATACGCACTTGCAGTTTCATTTATCTATACCTCATTAATACCATTTGCACCAGTGGACATTTTGTCATTATTTGGTTAATGGCGGTCTTTACTCCTAGAGTGAAATTGAGACTGAGACTCTTTGCTTAATAGCTCATCCCAGGGCAGAGTAGGAACTGAATAGCACAGTAAGTAGTTAATAAATATTTATTGAGTGATTGAATTCATTCTCTCATTCATTCATTCATTCATTCATACATCCATTCATATTCAGGAGGCGGATGGTTACCAAATCCTAAAGTCTGAGGTATATAACTAATCTAAAAGTGTACATAGCAATTTGATAATGAAAGGCACAGATACGGTTTTCTAAAAATACCCAAATAATTATAGCCACTTGGGGCCAGGCGCAGTGGCTCACACCTATAATCCCAGCACTTTGGAAGGCTGAGATGGGTGGATCACTTGAGGCCAAGAGCTCCAGACCAGCCTGGCTAACATGTTGAAATTCCATCTCTACTAAAAATATAAAAAATTAGCCAGGTGTGGTGGTGGTACATATGTAGTCCCAGATACTGGGAGGCTGAGGCATGAGAATTGCTTAAACCCGGGAGGCAGAGGTTGCAGTGAGCCGAGATGGCACCACCGTACTCCAGCCTAGGCAACATAGCAAGACTCTATCTCAAAAAAAAAGAAAAGAAAAAAAAAATGGTTCTCTTTAATTAATGTGCGGTAAACACTGGAAATGACAGGAACATCTGGAAATCCAGTTGTTACTATGGCTATCATATGAATGACCACCCTGTGCAGTTGCCCCTCTGCTTGGCTGGTTCCGGCCCACATCCGGGCCTCCATTCCAGCTCTCTCTGAGACAAGCATGTCCCACTGGTTTTTCCAGGGAGACAAGACCAAGAGTATGAATGGATCTACACAAATCCATTGCCAACCCAAGAAAACAACTCATAGCAAATGGAAGCACCACCTAAAGCACTGCCCATATCACTACAAATATTATTTCTATGCTTCTTTAAGAATTTTTTTTTTTTTTTTTGACCCAGAGTCTCATTCTGTCACCCAGGCCGTACTACAGTGGCGCTACCTTGGCTCACTGCAACCTCTGCCTCCCAGATTCAAGCAATTCTCCTGCCTCAGCCTCCCAAGTAGCTGAGACTACAGGCATATGCCACCACGCCCAACGAATTTTTGTATTTTTCGTACAGACAGGGTTTCACCATGTTGGCCAGGCTGGTCTTGAATTCCTGATCTCAAATGATCCACCCACCTTGTTTCCCAAAGTGTGGGGATTACAGGAGTGAGCCACCGCACCTGGCCCTTCTCTAACAATGTTCAAGAGGAAGGAATAGAAATATGTTGAAGCTATAAATGAAGCTAGCATTTAAAAACAGCCACCAGCTGGATACTGTAAATGCTTTTTCATAGATCTAGAGTAACCAGTACCAAAGTGACTCCTATATTTGTTACCATTATTGTTACATGCAATTTATTTTTTTACATTTGAAGATCTCAGAGAATGATGAGTCAACAGATGGGAGCAATGCTATGCCTTTACTACAACCCTCTCCATGGAATCTACCTTCTCCTTTAGTAACGTGCAGAGAGAGGGTGTGCTGAAGGGGCATGACACTATTCAGATGGTGGATACAGGGAACAGGCTTGGCAGTGTTTCTCCCTCCTTTAGTACTCCCATTGTTCACTCTGATAAAGTGTTTTCTACTTCGTCCATCAAAACCTTGGACTGACTCACTCCGAAATTTGTCTCCCAACTCATCCCTAAGACATTGATCCTTACTGACTTCAGTATTAAGTTAGCAGAAACACAACAGGTATTCTCATGCACCCTTGTGAACTGGGCACAGAGAAAGAGTGGTCCTGATAACGCTGGTGTGAAAAGAACACTGAGTGAGTGGAGACACAGTGCTGGCAACCCCCAGGGTCCCAGGAATCTGCCCTGGTGATCACTCTAAAGCCAACGGGCAATGTGTTCTGCAAGGACATGAAGGGCACATCCCTTGTTCAAAAGAACTGTTTTTAAAATATTATCTTCAGAGCCACTTCTCTAGTGTTAAGGTGACCAGCTGTCTTGTTTTAGCGGGGACTCAGGGGTTTCCCAGAATGCAAACTTTTGGTACTAAAACCAGGACAGCTATGGGCAAACTGGATGGCCTTTCTGTGGCTTTGTTATTCTTTGTCACTGATAATCATGGCCTTATTTACAAACTCATAGTCCAACTAGGTCCCAAGTTACCAGTTTAGAGAGACTTTGGGCACAAAGAGTTTGCTGCCCCATCAGAGATGGCCAGTAAAACTCTGGTCTGCAGCTAAGACTCATCTTTCTAAAGTCACTTGTGCCAACTCCCGTGCCTAATATCACAGAGCTCCTCACTCCTTCCAAGCAAAGCCCAAACTCCTTAGGTCAGCCAACAAAGGTCCCCCTCAAACCTTTGAGTCCTGGCACCAACTTTCTCCAAACTCATCTAACTGCTGGAAGCTGACAGTGCCCCTGCCTCCCACCTCCCATCACTCACCTCCATGAACCCCATCATAATCCAATCTTCTCCCCTCACGGCCACAGGAAAGCATCACCTCCTTCATTAAAACACTCCAAAAGTTCCACCCTTTTTCTTTATACTCCAGTAACTTTTGTTCCACACTATTCACCAAGTTCTGCTTTGTAGAAAGCTCTTCGCATACTTCTTTTTTATTATTATTTATTTTTTTATATCCTCTACTAGGTTGCAAGTTTTCAGAGATCAGGAGAAATGTCTTAAATGTCAGTGTTTCCATTCCAGGCCTAGTAGATTGAGTATCAATCCTGCTTTCCTCTTAACCACAGATTTCATGCGCTCCCCACCCACACACTCAATTCCAATCCCAGTTGATTTTGACTCAGTAAACATGAGGCAATTCTTCTGTTGGCCAGCGTTGAGAATTGCTGGCCTGCTGCATAAAGACGCTCAGGGAAGGCTGGCTGAATGAATGCATAAACTATCTAACATGTATTTAAAGAGAAAAGAGCCTTCTCAGATCTCTCTCCTGATGGAACTGATTTCCTCCCACTCTGTCTTTCCCCTGCATTTGGATTGTACTTCTGTTAAGTGCCTACCACAGTCTATCTCATATTCAGTGACATGGGGTATGTCTGCCTTCCTGTCTAGTATGTGAGCCAGTGGAAAGCAGAGATGTGTCATGATGGTGTCTATTGTCCACAACAGTTACCCAATAACAGCATGCTCAATACAGTCTCTCAGAAAAGTTTGCAGTACTGATTTTAAGGAGTTTCGGAGGTGTTATAGATAGAAGGCACAGGGACAAAAAAAACCACGGGTTTTCCCCAGTTCTGGCAGCTGAGGAGCACTTTGTGGCTGTATGCAGATGGATCTTTGATCATTACATCCATTTTAAAGATGAGGAAACTGAGGTTTAAAAGGTTGAAGCCGAGCATGGTGGTTCATGCCAGTACTCAGCACTTTGGGAGGCCAAGGAGTTTGAGAAGAGCCTGGGTAATACAGTGAGACCCCATCTCTACAAAAATAAAAATACGAAAATTAGCCAGGCATGGTGGTGCGCACCTGTAGTCCCAGCTACTCAGGAGGGTGAGGCAGGAGGATTGCTTGGGTTGGGGAAGTCAAGGCTGCAGTGAGCTGTGATTGTGCCACTGCACTCCACCCGGGTGACAAAGCAAGACCCGATCTCAAAAAAAGAAATTAATTAATTTAAAAAATTAGGTCAAGTAGCTGTGTCAAATCACCCAGCACTTAGAGACACATGAGCGCTACAGCCCATGTCTCCTGACCACTGCCAATTGAAAGTTCTTTCCACTCTTCATTTAAAATCAATCCTTTACAAGTCTTTAAACCCAGGATAACCTCCTGTGCTTTGCCAGTCTGCTGAATTCCAGGCTGGTGGCAAAAGCGTAAGACAGGAGGGGACAGAGGCCAGGCACAGAGAGGTGTAAGTGTGTCTCTGACCACCTGTCTCTGTGTGCCAGAGCCAGTTTTTTTGTTTGTTTGTTTTAAATGGAATTTTGTTCTTGTTGCCCAGGCTAGAGTGCAATGGCACGATCTCGGCTCACCACAACCTCCACCTCCCGGGTTCAAGCAATTCTCCTGCCTTACCCTCCTGAGTAGCTGGGATTACAGGCATATGCCACCACGCCCAGCTAATTTTGTATTTTTAGTAGAGACAGAGTTTCTCCATGTTGGTTAGGCTGGTCTCAAACTCCTGACCTCAGGTGATCCACCCGCCTTGGCCTCCCAAAGTGCTGAGATTACAGGCATGAGCCATCGCGCCCAGCCCAGAGCCAGTTTTTTAAAATCTATGTTGTATTATTTTCCTCTAATAAAGTAACTAATCAAAAGCTCACCATATATTAATGGATTTTATTAAAATATGTGATCTGGCTTCCTTAAATCCATGATTTAACATTTGAATATAGTTATTTTGTCATTTCTGAAAAACGCTAAGAATAGATAGCCATTTTCTTAGTCTACCTCAAAGTTAATATAATTCCCGTAAAAATTTCAGGGCCACTGTGGTTCTGGGATATATTTACTCTGAGTCCCTTGTGAGCAATTGTGTAATTCTGGTATGCACAGTTTGCTTCTTATTCTCATCACTAATAATGCAAAGAAAAGCAGATTGGCATATCCTTCATTCAAAACAACAATCTTATAAATATTATTGTCAGTGCCACTTCCCTGAAGTTAAAGTAACCAACTGTCCTGGTTTGCCTAAGACTCAAGGGTTTCCCAGAATGTAGGACTTTCAGGGCTAAAATCAGGCAGACCCAAGCAAACCAATGGTTACTTACCCTACTAGAGAGTGCCATTTGGCAAATAAAGGTTTCCGTTCTTACTCTCTGGCCTGCTCTCCAGACATATGCAAATATAATTTTATTATTTGTGAAAATAATGTAAACAAAGAAACCATGTCTAGAAAAAGAATATACGCCCATATGTTAACATTTGTCTTTGGGTGGTAGGACTATGGGTAATTTTTTTCCACTTTTTTTTCTGTAATTTTCAAACTTTCTGTAGTGAACATTTCTATACTGGTAAAATAAAAAGGTTTAGTTTTTAAATGTATGACAAATAAAAATGGGTAGATAAATAGTACCTATGTCAAAGTTAGTTGTCTATCCCATTCACAGCAAATATTCTGAGATATGCCTCTGCCTTTTGGGTAGATTTTAAAAGAAATAATCATTTTTTCATATCAAGGTATCACCAGCTGAATATTCCTAAAAAAGGAAGCTGATGAAATGACCCAGCTTTACCCCTGCCAGGCCACAATGCACTCTTCAGGCAAACAGATGGGTGCTTGCCACTGACCTTTCTCTGAGAAGGGGCTGATCCAAGGGTCCCGGAGAGCTGGAATGCTGGGAGGTGGCAAATGAAGCTTTCCGGTGGAAATCGGCATCCCCTTGTTTACTGGATGAGGACTTTCCAAACTGACTTGAATCTAAACGTGATGATGAGTCACTCCTTAAAATAATCCGTTCATCTGGCTCTCTGATAACCTGAGTGAATGCGCATTATTTAATTGTAATTTTGCTTCTGTTTGCTTAATTTAGAGCTGGGGGTGGGGTTGAACAAGGAAGACAACTAGGGCTAAGATGACAGAACATTTGCGCCAGGGATCTCCTGCAAATAGAAGAGGATCTGGAGAAGAGAAGACTAGTGACAAAATGCTCAGGAGGTTAAGACTGATAAAAATAACCAAAAGTCTGTATGTTTGGGATATATTAACAAACCAAAATAAACTCATGCTGTAAACTTTGATTTCTGAGGACTAGGGATTATTGGTCTGGGAAAAATATAACTTTAACAAAATATTTAAGTGCTATGGCATAAGAAGCATAGTATATTCCATTTTCTCTGCATAAATCTGTTCTCATGTTGCTACACAGAAGTTTGAGCCTTCACTTTAAAATTATTTGTTTGGAGAAAAAGCAATAAAAATCACTACCAATAAAGTAGGTATTGGGTCTACATACACCCTCCTTGGTGATTCATCCTACTTATATGAGGGGCACAAACCAGCTAACCCCAAAGCAAAGTATAACATGGAGTCTGGGCACATCTTCATACAAACCCTAAACTACAGCAATTCCACCTAAGCAGACTAACTAGAAATATCCACCACTGATTGGAAAAAGCACAATAATTGACATAAGATAGCTGGAAGTAAATCATTTTACAAATTCTATTTCTAAAATTACCTTTACGTTAGCTGCAAGGCTGTCAAGAGAAGAAGCTAGAAGAAAGAGGAACAGGTGTTTCAATGACTCATTATTACCATTTAGCTTTAAAACTGCCATTATATTTATTCTACAGCGGTATAAAAATTTTAGACAATGAATGAATTATTTAAAAACTTAAATGCTCCCTTGTAAGTTACACTACCACTTTTAAGTCTCCCTTAAGCCACTTCAATTCGCTGGGTCGTGGGGTTTTTTTGTTTTGTTTTGTTTTTGTCTTTTTGAGGTTAACAATGAGGTTTTCTGGTTTTTTTGTTTGTTTGTTTTTTGGGTTTTTGTTTTTGTTTTTTTTTTTTTTGAGATGGAGTCTCACACTGTCGCCCAGGATGGAGTGCAATGGCATGATCTCAGCTCACTGCAACTTCCACCTCCTGGGTTCAAGCGATTCTCCTGCCTCAGCCGCCAGACTAGCTGGGATTACAGGTGCCCACCACTACACCCGGCTAAATTTTTGTATTTTTAGTAGAGATGGGGTTTTGCTATGTTGGCCAAGCTGGTCTCAAACTCCTGACCTCAGGTGATCCACCCACCTCGGCCTCCCAAAGTGCTGGGATTACAGGTGTGAGCCTCTGGACGTTTTGTCTTCAATGACAGCACATATGGAAGAGGGAAGGGTAAAGCAAGTCTAAAGTGAATGAGTAAGTTCAATAACCCTTAAGCAGCCTGAAAAACTCGTATTTGAGTAGGTGCCCAGGACCTAAAAAAAAGTACTATGTGTCTAATATAAAATTTGTAAACTGTCTCCTCTGACATTTTCTTTGGTTTTCATGGAATCCTATTTATGCAGGAGCTCTTGAATATATTTGTCCAAGGTAGACACAAAGGTTAAATTGAGACAACAAATACATAAAAGCTTGGAGAAATACAGAACATAGCAAAAATTGAAATCACTATCATGACTGTAAATGATCATGATAGGTAAGTAGACCTAATGCCGAAGTATGGCAAGGATGACTAGGAAATGAGGTAATAAAGACACAGAGAAAGTGAAGACTAGGCTGGATTTTTCAAGGTTGATTAAAAAATGTTTCTAAAATTAGTATTTGTAAGGCAATGCTAAGGTCACCATGGCTTCCCCCAGTGTGACCGGGGCTCAGGCAATGACAAGGGACTTTTTCTGGACTGCTGATCCCCCTCCCCATGTCACTGGTAGAAATAAAAAGAGATTTTTAAAGCCAGGCCATTTTCATATCCTTTAGGCATATAGATATGTATGTACCACTTTGTCCCAGGAGCTCTCTTTGCACCCACCCCCAGCTGGGCAGGGAGTCAGCAATGCTAATGCCCTTTCAGCTATAGCCACAAACCTGCCCTGTGGCCTCATAACCTCCTTCTCATAACCCCCTTCTCATAACCTCCTTCCAGTGTGGCCTCATAACCTGTGGCCTCATAACCTCCTTCCTCCTGTGGCCCCATAACCCTGTGGCCTCAGAAACTCCTACCTACTGGTTTTGAGCCCTTCCTTTCACAGGGGGGCTCGCCTTCATTCCCTTGCTTCTCAAAGTGCAGTCCCTGGACCAGCACCATTCACATCACCTGGAAGCCTGTTAGAAAAGGAGACTCCTAAGCTCCACCCCAGCCCTAATGAATCAGAATCTGCAGTTTAACAAGAGCCCCAGGTGATTCAAATGCACATTCAAGTTTGAGAAGCACTGCTGTGTTCTACCTTAGGCCTGGATGAATGAGCTGACAGGTGACCTAAGCAAAGTTCTGGCTTGAAAGCTACAGGGATTCCAAGGATCTGAGCCCAGAGGTCTGAATGTCTTCTCTAAATGTAGGTATGCCAAAAACTTGGTGTGTGACCTTTACACACATTGTAACCTCTCTGGAACCTTAGTTCTCCACCTGCCAGGATTAAGAAAAGACAAAGGCCGAGACCAATGTGATGTGTGAGCCCCATCGTAATAGACCCTGCATTAAACCCAACTTGTCCGCCTCAGGAAAGGACATTTGCTGTTGCCTGATTTCACTGCAGTAGGGAAGACAATGCTGCTTTATAAGCTACACGGGTGACTTTCAATTCAAAGAACTTAAATTAAATGTCAGAGGTGATGAAGCACTTTCTGCTTCAAACCCTGTACTCTGTCCTTGGCCAGCTGCTGTCAAACAGCTACCACAGTCTAAGAACACTGGCTTAAGTTACCATAAGAGGCTTAAAAGTAGACCCTGAAAAATGTAAACCTTTAAGCCTAAGATAAAGAACTCTACTGTCAGGGATGGCAATAGATGGAAAGTTCAGTACTACCAGCAGGCAAGAGAATGGACCACCACCATTCCTTTCCAGCCTAAGAATTCTGATTAACTTCAGGAATGACTGATCTTCACCAACACGACCTTCACTAACGACATGATTCATGGATTTCAGTCAAAAGCCTACAAGGAATTCCTTAACCCAGTGACTCTCAATGTGTGGTCCAGGGATCTCCCCCAGGGGTCCCCAAGACCTTTCAGGAAATCTGCAAGGTCAAACTGTTTTCATAATAATACTAAGACTGGGTGCTGACGAGTTGATGGGTGCAGCACACCAACATGGCACAAGTATACATATGTAACAAACCTGCACGTTATGCACATGTACCCTAGAACTCAAAGTATAATAAAAAAAAAATTAATAAAAATAAATAAAAAAATTAAAAAAATTAAAAAAAATAATACTACTAAGACATGATTTGCCTCTTTCATTCCCATTCTCTCACCACTGCACAATGGAGTTTTCCAAAAGCCACAATGATGTTATGACATCATCATCATGCTGATGGCTAATGGAATGTGTACTAGTCTATTCTTTTTTTTTTTTTTTTGAGACGGAGTGTCACTCTTGTTGTCCAGGCTGGAGTGCAATGGCACAATTGTGGCTTACCACAACCTTTGCCTCCCGTGTTCAAGCAATTCTCCTGCCTCAGCCTCCCGAGTAGCTGGGATTACAGGCATGCACCACCATGCCTGGCTAATTTTGTAATTTTAGTAGAGATGGGGTTTCTCCATGTTGGTCAGGCTAGTCTCAAATTCCCAACCTCAGGTAATCTGCCTGCCTCAGCCTCCCAAAGTGCTGGGATTACAGGCGTGAGTCATTGCACCTGGCCGTAGTCTATTCTTATATTTTAAAAATGTATCAGTTTTAATTTCTAACATGCTAACTACTGATATTATCCACATCAAGAAAAGCTCTTTGGGCTCCTCAATAATATTAAGAATGCAAAAGGGCCTGAAATCTAAAGGTTTAAGAACACCCTGCCTTCATCTAACGGCTTCAGATAGAGTTGGCTTCCCACCTCACTGACATGCAATCTTGTAAAGCAAATGTTACATCTCCTGATCACCATCAATCTCCTGTTTTTTCCCATCCAGAAAAATGGGAAGCCTTATTTGTTAGGCATCAATGGTGACTCTGCAAGGGGTTCACAGCAGGACAAGTTGCACTCTGCTTTCCATGCCCAGCCAGGGAACAACTGCAACCACAGCACACTCAGCATGCTGCTCAGAATGGTCCCCTTCAATGATGAGGGGAACTCGCAGACAGAAGCTTCTCAGCTGACTCTGCTTCGTGGGAACACTGCCCTGGAAATTCCACAGCTGGAGAGTACTTGAGAATTAGGCCCACAGTTCCGAACATAACCTGTGATTCCTCAGAATGAAAGAGTATACACAGGACACATTTGTTGCCATAGGGAAATGTACAGGAGTAACAAGAAACTCAAGTACCTCTTCTCATTGGAAACGGAAAGTCTGAAAACTTAGATTTTCTTCTACACCTCCTCAAATGATGCTCTGAAATATTCTCACCAAAGGGCTTTGCACTGTCCACCTGAAAGTAAAGGAAAGAAATAAGACTAGAATTCACTATAGCTTCTAGTACCCTCCCCTCATCACTGGTAATGCCTGTCTCCCCCTCAATCACTGATTACATAGGTTGGAAAAAGAAGGCTGGAAAACCACCTAGATCACAGTCTTCAAGTTTGCTACATGTTACACCTAAAAGGAGAAACTCTCTGTCCTTCATTGAGGCTAGAACATGAGGACATAGGCTAAACATTAGCATAAAGAACTAAAGTTAGACACAAATTACATTCCAACAACTGGTAAGGATACAGCACAGAAAAAGGGCAAGTGAAGCTTTATTTCACAATCTCTTAAAATAGGACAATGTTTCACATTCCTTAAACATTATGAGTAGTGGTGGCCTAAGTGGGGTCCTCACTGACAGCAAGGGATTCCCACAAGATGACATTTCTACTTTCCACATTCCTCTCTGGTCCGAGTGTCTACATTTTTGAAAAAAGAATAATGGTAGCTAGGCCGGGTGCAGGGGCTCACGCTTGTAATCCTACCACTTTGGGAGGCCGAGGAGGGAGGATCACCTGAGGTCAGGAGTTCGAGACCACCCTGACCAACATGGAGAAACCTCGTCTCTACTAAAAATATAAAAATCAGCTGGGCATGGTGGCACATGCCTGTAAACCCAGCTACTTGGGAGGCTGAGGCAGGAGAATCGCTTGAACTCGGGAGGCGGAGGTTGCAATGCCCCAAGATCATAACATTGCACTCCAGCCTGGGCAACAAGAGTGAAACTCCATCTCAAAAAAAAATAATAAATAATAATAATAATAGCAACTATATTATTTTATCTATGGTGACTGACCATATTTTCCTAAGGAAAAATTGGGTAACATGATCTGCAAACAGGCCAAAACACATGAACTGGGGACTCTTCCAAATATCTACAATATAGAGTTGCTGAATTTTTTTATTTCTGTTTTTTAAAATTTTAATAAGGCAGGTTATAATGTTACTTTTCATTTTACTTTAATATATTGACTTGAATTTACAGTCTTTATAACATCAGGTTTTCTAAATTTTAATGCTTCTACTTAAGGAAACATCACATATCATCAGAAAATCTGACTAAATAAAAAAATTAAATATGTAAAATCACTGATAGAAGACTTTGGCACATAGGAAAAACTATATAAGAATTTGTTAAATAAAACAAGTATCAAGCAAGTTTTAATCCCCTAAGAAATCTACCAAGATTTTAAGATTACTTAGTTCATAACGGCATGGACTAAAGTTGTATTTTATAATAATTTATATCAAATGAAGCAAATCAGATATATTTTCAATAAAATGAAATAAATGAACTCAATTTGATATTTTTATGGTCCCATGTTTAAAGATTGGTCGTTAGATATTTGCCAGATGTAATTACCCAGGCCACCAAGACAACAGCTGTTGTGTATTTTTTGTAGATAGGTGTTCTGCAGTTTCTAGCCAAACAGTTCTACAAACCAATTCTACATACAGTCATCTCAGCAGCACCTTCACTTCGAGACTTACTACACTTCACAGTCTCTGCCTAATACACAAACATCACCACTGGTGACTTTAAATCAAAATATCAACTTAATGATACTATCAATAGTTAACATTCTGGACAATAAGTCATTAATTAGAACATGAACTGGTATTCGTGTAGACTACAAAATAACACAGGAAATTGTTTTAATGTAATGTTAATCAGAATACTGTAATTATATACAGTATAATTACAACTTTGTGGAAAAAATAAAGCCTATGAATGCAAGCATAATGCAGAGAAATTGAGTCAAATTAAATCAAACAATGATTTTATTATGCTGGTGAGCCAATGGATTAATTTTTTTCTTGAACTTTTCTGTTTTCCATTACTTTTATAGTAGCAAAAAAGTTGTAGGCCAGGTGTGGTGGCTCATGCCTGTAATCCCAGCACCGTGGGAGGCCGATGTGGGTGGATCACCTGAGGTCAGGAGTTCGAGACCAGCCTGACCAACATGGTAAAACCCTGTCTTTACTAAAAGCACAAAAATTAGCTGGGTGTGGTGGTGGGCACCTGTAATTCCACCTACTCAGCAGGCTGAGGCAGGAGAATCGCTTGAACGTGGAAGGCGGAGGTTGCAGTAAGCCGAGATTGTATCACTGCACTCCAGCCTAGGCAACAGTGCAAGACTCTATCTCAAAAAAAAAAAAAATTGTAAAGAGACTAAGAGAACTAGTATGATTAAATTTGCCCACCATTGCCAGAGGACATAATCTAAGATAACTTTAATTAAGGGCTTTGAGTATCGCACAACATTGCTTCTTCCTGCAAATAAACTTTTCTGGCTCTTCAACATATGGCCACTGAGCACCAATCTCATTAAGAAAACTCATGTAGTTTTCTTTAAAACTGATGAAGCTTTAGTTTTGGATTGATACAGAGTGCATGCCAACCTTCGTTATGTGTTTTCAACCTCTGTCAGTTCACTGACTCTTCAAGATAATGGCAAGTTATCGTGTAGACATTATACTCTGCTAATAAATTTTTGAAAATTAAAAATAGGGATGGCTGACATTTACTGAGCAAGTCCCCTGTATAAGGCACCTTTCTAAGAGTTTCCTGACAATGATCTAGGAAATTAACATAAGTTAATCACAATTATTATTCAATTTGAAGTACTTTTTTATTTAATATTATTCATTTGTTATTATAGCTCAAACTTCCTTTATTCCACCCTCATCCATATCCTCACAATTGCAAAATACTCTAAAAAATAATTTTAGGCTCACATGTCTAACAACAAATGGAGGCTTGCTTCCTCCAGAGATTTTGAAATTATTTCCAAGGTTCAACTGAACTGGCTGGTCCTGGAAGAAATGCCTGGTAGAATATGGAGAGGGCGCCTGGGCTTGCATGCCTTTGGGCAGTCTGTTGAGGTTATTCTCCTTTAGTTTCATCTTTATAGTATTTAAGGGAAATATTGGTTCATGTGATGTAGATAAAGGCCTTCGTGACTTATGCCTTTCTTCCTGAAATAAACAAAAAAAAGAATATTTTTAAAAATAAATAAGAAAATTCAATCAGAATATAACTGTATTTAATTGAACTTTAAAAAATTAAGGTCAAAGATAGAACACCTCAGATTTATAAAATATAAACTTAAGGAAGGACATTTCTCTAATTTTTTCCTGTTCAGTTTAACATCAGTAGTATTTATAACTTGCCAGTATAATGTATTCAATTAATTAACAGTGAGATTTATTTATAACGGGAAAGTTAGAAAGTGTCAGACACCTCCAATGGATAGATAATAGAGAATTTGACACATACAGGTGTCTAGCAATTTCACTTCCAGGAATGTATTATAAGGAAATAACTACGGCTATATGTATAGCTACAAAAATGCTTATGGTAATTTAAAAGTTAGAAACCAACTGTACTGGTGAGTAAGCAATTGCGCTCAGTTGCAAATCCACCTCAGCTATACAATACTGATCCAGGGACTCTACAAACTCCCTTTTTGCTTTTCCAGCTGGTCTCTGTAGGCTCTGCCACTAGAAGGTGCTAGAGAAAGTGCAAGGCTGTAGGAGATACAGTGACTGGCTACTTCCAGTTTTGTATTCTATTCCTGTTAGCATCATTCCAGCAACAATTCTTCCCCTTAACAGCTGCAAGTGGCTCCAGATTATAGCCTTTCCCCTATTATGCCAGAACTAGCCCCACTGCACCCCTCCAGACATATCAACAGCAGCTGGCCAGAGTCCCCTGTTCAGATTTGAGTCTAGACCCACAGGAACCTTCCTCCAAGCTCCTGTGGCACCAGCAGGGAACAGTGCCCCTCCTTAGAGATCTGAGTCCCAGCTCATCAGAGTCCCACCTTCGAATTCCTGAAGAAGCATCCAGGAAAGCAGCCCTTCTCCAGAGGTCTGGGTCCCATTTCCGTTCAGTCTCTTCTTTAAGCTTCTGTGTTCTTGCTGACCCAACATCTTCCCTTTGTTTCCCCAGCCCTAGGGGTGGAAGCTGCTTCCTGCAGTTACTCTTCATCTCAGTGTTCCCCTTTTACCTTTCAGTCTTTCAACCCCTGTTTAGCCATTTTTTTAAATTAAATCTTTCTGTTATAATCACAAGTTTGGTGTGGTTTCCTGACTGGACCCTGGCTGATATATCAGTTAAGTGCTCAACAAAAGGAAAATGAATGGCCAAACAGATTACAGTACTTCCATACAATGGAATACTATGAAACCATGAAAAATTGTCTGGCACAAGAATACCTGAGGACATGAGAAAATGTTTATGATAAGTTAAGTAAAAAAAAGAAGGGTAAAAAATAATATGCAATGCAGTGTGATCTCAATCTTTTTTAAAAGTGTGTATGCGTGTACAGAATATACTAAAAAAATTAATGCTGATCTCTAAATGGCAAAAATGGGACAGGTTTTTACAATTTTGGGTCCTTTTCGCTTATTTATCTTTGTTTTCTAATTTTCCAAAATAAAGTGATACTTTTGTTTTAAGAAAAAAAAAAAGAACAGACTGAGTGCGGTGGCTCACGCCTGTAATCCCAACACTTTGGGAGGCTGACGCAGAGGATCTCTTGAGGCCAGGAGTTCAAAAAAAAAAACAATAAAACTATTTGCTTAAAAAGTTAACACTGAAAGGAAGATCTAGGAAGTTAAAACAGAATTAAAATGGTAGAAGAGAAGAGAAAGAAACACTGAAAAATTGCTATGAACACATCACAAATAAATTGGAGAGAAAAGAGGATAAATAAGGTGAAACTAAAAAGCAGATAGCGCCTTCCTTAAAATTAATCATTGGTCTCCCATTATATGAGTTATTATGCTGCGAGGTTTGATAGATTTGCAGAGATTATTGGCCCTTCTTTCTCATTCAGAATCCCATAACACACAGCCCACATTTTCAAGGTCTTTTCTAGGACCACACATAAGATCTGGGATAAGCATTTTGTTTCACACACAGGTTTTACTCTACCGTGTCCCAGAGTATTTGGAGAAGCTTCACAAACTACCTTTATTCCTTCTCTATCTTGTTCTAGAAAAGATTTTAAGTGGCAACAACATTATATACAATAAGGTAAAAGCAAAACAGAAAGAAATTGGGGTGAGGGGGACACTAGGACTGAAGAAGAGAGTAAAATTGAGGTAGTACACATGGATGCCCTAAGACCCTTCACATTTACCAAAGATGGACCACGAATACAATCTGAGCATCAGCCTCAGCAAAAGAAAGATGGCTCCATGTTTACTGCAGCACTATTCACAATAGCCAAGATTTGGAATCAACCTAAGTATCCATCAACATATGAATGGATAAAGAAATTATATTACATACACACGATGGAATACTGTTCAGCCACAAAAAATAATGAGATCCTGTCTTGCAACAACATGGATGAAGTTAAGGTCATCATATCAAGTGAAATAAGCCAGGCACAGAAAGACAAACTTCATATATTCTCACTTATTTGTGGGAGCTAAAAATTAAAACAATTGAACTCATCGAGACAGACAGTAGAATGATGGTTACCAGAGGATGGGAAGGGTTGTGGGGGCTGAGGGGGAGTGGAGATGGTTAATGGGTAAAAAAAAAAAAAATAGAAAAAATGAGTCAGATCTAGTATTTGATAGAACAACAGGGTGACTATAGTCAATAATAATTTAACTGTAAATTTTAAAATAACTAAAAGAATATAATTGGATTGTTTGTAACTCAAAGGATAAATGTTTTAGGTGATAGATACACCATTTACCTTGATGTGATTATTACACACTGTATGCCTATATCAAAATATCTTATGTACCCCATAAATATATACAGGTATTATGTATCCATGAAAAAATAAAATCTCTAAATTGTTATTTTATTTTTATTATTTTTTATTTATTTATTTTATTTGAGACGGAGTCTCACTCTGTCACCCAGGCTGAAGTGCCGTAGAGCCATCTTGGCTTACTGCAGCCTTGACCTCCCAGGCTCAGGCGATTTGCATGCCTCAGCCTCTCAAGTAGCTGGGATTACAGGCGTACACCACTATGCCCAGCTAACTTTTGTACTTTTGGTAGAGATGGGGTTTCACCATGTTGCCTGGGCTGTTCTCTAACTCCTGACCTCAGGTGATCCATCCGCCTCGGCCTCCCAAAGTGCTGGGATCACACGCATGGGCCACCATGCCTAGCCTAAAATTTTTAAACTTTTAAAAAAGAAAGATGGAAACTGCTGTTCATAAGATCAAAAGTAAATGTCATAGAACAACAATAACAAAAGCTAATTAGCTCACTTACATCAAATTTGTAATTTTAGCTTCTGAATCACCCTGCTTCCAGCTACATCATGCTGCCAAACATATGTGCCAAACAGACTCTAGTATGACTGGCTGAGTAAACAGTTTGAATTATAGAAATTCAAACCCAGTAAAAACTTTCCAGGTTTCTACTTGTTTAGTTTCATGTAAACTTGATAAACTGAGTTTGGGCAAAAATTCTTTAAATTAGGGAAAAAAAAACAAAAACGGTCATTTCTATCACTAGATTTGTATTGTACTTACAAGAAATCTGTTTCTATGCAGAAACACACTTTCTCTGATGGCTGTCCTTGTAGAAAACTCTATTTTAGGAGCAATTCCCTAAAAATAAAACAGCATAAGAAAAGCAAATAAAATTACTAGAAACAGTTCTTTGGCCATCTCATTCTAACTTAAAATCATACAAGAACCTAACTGCTCTTCTGTGTGGTTGGCATAATCCACACACATTATCTAAAATATATATGTAATAAGAATAGCTAAATACTTCTGTAATATATATTATGTATCAGAGCCAGGCCTAAGTAATTCATATATATTAACTCATCCAATCCTAACACAACCCCATGAGGCAGGTTTTATAATAGTACTCCTCAATTAAGACACAGTTTAAGTAACATGTCCATCTAGTAATGATGGCTATTAATTGAACCCAGGCATTCCGGCTCCAGTGTCCATGATGTTAGCTACTCTATTTAAAACACTGCACCACGGAATTGAATGCGATTACCTAGAGAGAGGTATGTATAATGTATAGAGTCTTCCTCTCTACCTACCTGCTTTGAAAAACTTGCTTTATATCTCATATCAGATATTTGTATTCATTAGACCTAATTCCAAATTAATTTTGTTTCATTGATTCGATATTTCTATTTTTTGTCCTCAGTACCATACTGTCTAAAATATTGGGTTATATATACATGTGTGTATATATATATCCTATCCTGTTTAATTCTTATAATCCTATAGGGTAGGTACAATTATTATAATCATCCTGTTTTACAGATGTTAAAACTGAAAAATGGGCAAAAACTAGAAACTATCCAAACACCCTTAATGGGTGAACAGATGAACCGTGGTGTATTTACATAATGGAAACTACTCGGTAATAACAAGGAACAAATGAATGACACACACAACTACATGGATGGATCTCAACAGCGTTCTTCTAAGTGAGAAAAGCCAGTCTCAAAAGGTTACAGACTGTATGATTCCATTTATGTAACATTCTCAAAAAAACAAAACTATGGTGATGGAGAAAAAACTAGTGCTTAGGGTCAGGGGAAGGGTGTGCCTATAAAGGGGTAACATGAAGGGGATTTTAGGAGTGATGGGATTGTTCTATAAACCGATCGTAGTAGTGGTTTTACAAATCTATACATGTGTTAAAATTCATAGAACTGTAGACCGAAAAAGCATCAATTTTATTGTATAATAATTTTTAAAATACAACTGCTTTCCCCAAAAAATGAGGCCTAAAGAGACATTAAGGCAATTTTCCCAAATTTACAAGGCTTATAAATGGCACCACAGCGACAGGACCTGAATCTGACTAAATTACACTGTCTCCATCTGACCCCATCGACTCACCAGTGGCCCCTCTGCATGACCTCTCTGCTCTACTCTCCCCCAGAGAACACCACCTGGCCAAGTTACTTCTTGTCCTGAGGGCACCTTCCTTCTCTTCTTTTCCATCCAAATTTTACCCATCTCTCAATGTCTGATCTCACTCTAACTCCTCCAGGTAAGCCCATAGTAGTCTCTCCCTCCAGTCTCTAACATTTCATTTTCATTTATACAACTTATACTCAAGGTGCTTCCATAACAGGGCCTGCCCCAGCTGAAGCCCTCGAAAGAAAGGAAGCCAACATCTACTGCATGCTTATTACATGTGCCAGCTTCTGTTAAGGGTTTCCAGAGGCGTGATCTCATCTAATCCTCACACAACCTGTGTAGTAGACCACTGTATTCCCATTTTACACAGGAGGGAACAGACTTGGAGAGGTTTAATAGTATGCCCAATGTCACACAGGTGGGTAGAGCCAGGATTTGAAACTCTGCTAAATTGGCCAGGCACGGTGGCTCGCGCCTGTAATCCCAGCACTTTGGGAGGCCAAGGCGGGCAGATCACGAGATCAAGAGATCAAGACCATCCTGGCCAACATGGTGAAACCTGTTCTCTACTAAAAATACAAAAATTAGCTGGGTGTGATGGCGTGAGCCTGTAATCCCAGCTATTCAGGAGGCTGAGGCAGGAGAATCGCTTGAACCCGGGAGACGGAGGTTGCAGTGAGCCGAGATCGCGCCACTGCACTCCAGCCTGATGACAGAGAGAGACTCAAAAAAAAAAAAAAGAAAGAAAAAAGAAACTCTGCTGAACTACTACAAAACCTACCTTCTTTCCATTTCCTCATGCTATCTCTTCAGGGGTCTTGTGAATCAGCTAGTCAGCTTGTTTCCTGTGCATTCATTCATTCCTGTGCACCCATCCTGTCTACACAAGTCCTCACAGGTACAATCTATATCCTTAACTCCTTTTTATATTGCCTGTAGAATGCACAGTATGTACACAAGAGTGCAAAGCTTGGCCAGACAACTCAAGAAAACATTTCTAGGCTTATAAACACAGGGGTCAAGATGCTACATGAGTCAGACAATGCAGAGGGACATTTGATAAAGAATGTACAATCATATGACTAGTACAGCCTCATCTTTTCTTAACCAGATGGCTTACATGAAGGAGGCAAGGAGAGTTTCAGTGTCCACAGTGCTACTGGTAGAATCATATGACCCTCACATGTGTGCCAAGCCTCAGGTCCCCCACAGCCCAGTGGCCTGAGCCTGAACAAGTCATCTCTCATGCCATAGTCTTGTGCAGTCTTCTCATTGCCTCACAGGGAGACAGTATTAACCATTGGATGACAGCACAATAAATAATAACAGCTTAGATTTATTGTACACTTAACTATATACCAGGTATTGTGCTAAACACTGTATATTACCTCATCTAACACTCACAATAATCCTGTGAGGGATGTACCATTACAGTCCCATTTTGCAGATGAGTAAACTAAGGCACAAAGAGATTAACTTACCCAAAGTCTCATAGCCATTCATGACAAAACTGGGAATGAACCCGGACAATCTGATTCCATACTAAACCACTGTACATGCAGCTGCCTAATAGATTTTCAAGTTCCTGATCCACTTTGCCCAGAGAGGAGGAAGGAAGTCCACTGCTTGTAAGGAACCCACATTCTGTAACACAATTTTGTTCACCTTATATGACCTCCACTCCTTGCCATGACTTATAGACAATAAAAAAGAATGTATTTTCTTTTTCATACCGTGCTGCTTTTAGCATAACATTTTACTTTAGAGTTGAAATTTAGAGACTATATCTCATCCAGTCTCCTTACCAATGGAATGATGTTGATAACAGTTAGGTCAATGAAAGGATTTAACATAATATATAACATAATAACATAAACAAATAAAAATAATTTTTAAATGCTTTTTATGCTCACTTTACAAAGTCAGTCTTAACCTAACATGATAATAGACAATTGTGCAATCTTCTCATTGCCTCACAGGGAGACAGTATTATCATCTTTTATTATCTATTATCTAATAGATGAGACAGTAATATTATCTATTATCTAATAGATAAGACTAGATAAAATTGCAAACAAAAAAAATTCTTGACCTCACCAGGAAATAAAAAATACTGTTAAAGTATCAAGTGAAATAAAACAGCAAAATACAGAAATACAAAGAAAAGCCACATGCTAGTGGAGGAAATAAATCTAATTGTTAATAAGTTGATAAATTAGCAGAAAATAAAGTGAATTTGTCTCACATATTCATTCTTACTTCCTACAATATTAATGAAAAGAAATCAGATAGTGGGCTGAAATAAATATGAGAAAATTAGCATCATTCAGTGAGTAAGAGGGCAGGCTCTGAAGCCAGTCAGGCCAGCATGAGAATTCCTGCTCCATCACTCACCAGTTCTGTGACCCTAAGTGCATTTCTGAAACTCTTTACACCAGCTTCCCTCTCCTTTAAAGTGGGGAAAGAACAGGATAGTGAGCTCAACACAGTGCCTGGTATACAGTGAGCACACAGTGAACATCAGCTGTTTTTTTTTTTTTTTGAGATGGAGTCTCACTCTGTCGCCCAGGCTGCAGTGCAGTGGCATGATCTTGGCTCACTGCTACCTCTGCCTCCTGCTTCAGCATCTCAGTAGCTAGGATTACAGGCATGCGCCACCACGCTCAACTAATTTTTGTATTTTTAGTAGAGACGAGGTTTCACCGTGTTGGCCAGGCTGAAACATCAGCTATTATTAAAGTGATAGCTCTTTTTTGTGGTATCTCGGGGGCAATCAGCTGCTTCAAGATGAAGCTGAAGGCTGCACACGGTGGCTCACGTCTGTAATCCCAGCACTTTGGGAGGTTGAGGCAGGAGAATCACCTGAGGTCAGGAGTTCGAGACCAGCCCAGTCAACATGGAGAAACCTCGTCTCCACTAAAAACACGAAAATCAGTCAGGCATGGTGGTAAGTGCCTGTAATCCCAGCTACTTGGGAAGCTGAGGCAGGAGAATCGCTTGAACCTGAGAGGCGGAGGTTGCAGTGAGCTGAGATCACTCCACTGTACTCCAGCCTGGGCAACAGAGCAAGACTCCATCTCAAAAAATAATAATAACAATTGTGTTGTTCTTTCATCTTATACACTTTTGAAGATCTGCAATGTGTCTAGCACGTAGATTACAGCCAGGGACATTGGTTAAGAGCTACTGGAAACAAAACTAAAAGCAAACTCAACATATGTGATGTTTATGGCCCTCAGATCCTTAGTATTGTGTGATTTTCCCCCCTTAACATGTCTTTCTGAAATTGTCTATTAAAGCAGAGGAAATACCTGACAAAGGAAGTATGTATTGCATTAATCAGGACATAACTAATATTCTCCTATTCAGAATAATACTTATTTATGTGTGAAAGCAACATGGATGTGATCTCCAACACAGAATTTTCATGACGCTTTTATTGTATACAAATAAATACATAACAGTTACTTGGTTAGACATCAAAACAAAAACAAACAAACAAACAAAAAGATGAAGCTGAATATTTCCTTTCCAGCCACTGGCTGCCAGAAATTCATTGAAGTGGATGATGAAAGCAAACTTCGTACTTTTTATGAGAAGCATATGGCCACAGAAGTTACTACTGAGATGCTCTGGGTGAAGATTGGGAGGGTTATGTGGTCCAGATCAGCGGTGAGAATAACAAACAAGTTTTTTCCATAAAACAGGGTGTCCTGACCCATGGCTATGTCCACCTGCTGCTGAGAAGGGACATTCCTGTTATAGACCAAGAAGAATTGGAGAAAGAAAGTGCAAATCTGTTCAGGGTCACAATGTGGTCACCAATCTGACCATTCTCAACTTGGTTATCATCAAAAAAGGAGAGAAGGATATTCCTGGACTGACTGACACTATGGTGCCTCATCGCCTGGGGCCCAAAAGACCTAGCAGAATCTGCACTTTTCAGTCACTCTAAAAGAGATGATATCTGCCAACATATTGTAATAAAGCCCTTAAACAAAGAAGGTAAGAAACCTAGAACCAAAGCACCCAAGATTCAGTGTCTCGTTACTCCACATGTCCTGTAACACAAACTCTGGCATACTACTCTGACGAAAGAGACTACTAAGGGAAATAAGAGAGAGGCTGCAGAATATGCTAAACTTTTGGCCAAAAGAATGAAGGAGACCAAAGAAAAATGCCAGGAATAGATTGACAACAGATGCAGGCGGCCCTCTGCAAGCTTCTACTTCTGAGTCCAGTCAAAAATAAAATTTTTTGAGTAACAAATAAGATCAGATCCCACACTCCAAAAACCACTACTATGCAATTGGTTTTATTTTGCTTTATAGAATGGTTGAGAGAAATTGAGTCCCTCTATCTATTCACAAATTGTTTAAAATATAATTTGATTAACTTAATTGTAAGAATACCTCTAATGCATGCAGGTGTTTCCACATATTTAAAAAAATCTATTCTCTAGTGACTAACTGCATGTATAAATAACTATAAATACAACCTCCTATAGGTTATTTTTCCTATTTATGACCATAAAGTTGAACAGAGATAACACTCAAGAAAATATAAGAACGTTTGCTTCTTTTTATCTTGATACTTGACTGGATACCAGCTCAGTGTTTGTAGATGCCTTTTATTTAGCAGAGAACTAGGCAAACCAAAGTTAAAATAATAGAGTATCCCCTACCTGATTCTCATCAGTTTTTGATCCCTTTTAGCTTCTGAAGAGCAATATCACAATAACTCAAAATAAAATAATTAAAGGTAAGCTTATCACATGTACCATGGATTTAAATGATACATGAAGATCTTGGAGAAACAAAGACAGTTTCAGTGAGATTCATCAAACTCTCAAAGATAATGAAGGGCTTGGGGTTACAGTTATTAGGAATTCTGATTAGGGCAACCTTTAATGAATGTTTGCTGTTTGAAGTATTAGAAGCTCTGTCATGATAAGCTTCATAGAAACAGAGGTCCTGACTGTTACATTAAATATATTCTGCACAGTACTCTCAACAAAGTAGGAAACGATAACAAATTATAGTAATTGTAATTCATGGGGCAATATGAGAAAAGCTGAGTATCAAAATACTTTTTATAATTCTCAAAGGCATAGCCTTTTAAATGGAGATCATTCAAGTGATGTAACAGTCAAGAAAATCGTCAGGGTTGCCGTGGCAATAGAAATTGTCAAAGACAACATCAAAATGCGTACTTTGAATTTGGGTTCAGATAATGCCCCCCAAATAATTAAATTACCAGTGGAATATCTGCTATATCCTTCAAGATTATTCAGTAATATCAATTTGTGAGCCTCTGTCAGTTTCCTCTCTGTTAAATGGAGACCATATCTGCATTGGCTAACTTGGGAGAAAAAATTGAAAGTGCAAAATAAATGAAAAATAACATAACTGCTATTGCTACTCTATTTAGTCATAATAGCTATGACTAAACAAACAAATCTTTCTGTTAATCTGCAACAAAAGGAGGCTTTTATAACTATGTGACAATGCAAATATGGAAAAGATTTTAGCCTGATTAGATAAAACTTCCACCTCTCAGATCAATACTGAAAATCAGTATAATTTGGTACCTTGAGTTGGGCATCTAAACGGAGCCACTAAACAGAACAGCAGGGGTACTAACCAAAATAAAGATCAAACCCTGTCAGGAATAAAACATTCAGGTCCCAAGACTTTCTCTCCTAATAGAAGCCCAGATGGACATGAATCACTTACTGGAAAACCTAGAGCCGTCTTCATGAGCACTTCCCTACACCTCCTAGGGTGCGAAGGTGTCAGCTTGGGCTCTGGGAAAAGAAAATCCCGTGTGTTTTCTTCATAGTAGGCCAACTCATCCCACACTAGAAAGAAAGGAGAAAAAGTATAAATATCTGTATTTACACCTCCAGGTTTAACAAAATAAAAGTTCAGGCAGATGATGGCAGAGATGGCACTTAGGTAAAAATAGACACATTGATCCTAGCACCTGTTATTCAAGAGGAGACTAATTTCTATTACTTTTTATCTTTTGGATAATTTTTTAAAGCCTTCCAAAGTCATAACAGAGGAAAAAAGACTAAAGAGGTGTTCTACAAAACAGAACAAATAGGAAAATCTATCTTTCCATCTATCCATCCAATTTTTCCTTCGACAAATATTTACTAATGATAACCCTTAAGCCAGGTACCGGGGATAGAATAAGAACAAGGCGAACATAGCATTGTTCACACAAGTTTACAGTTTAGACTGGGGTTCAATGTGTTCTGTGATGCATGGATGCCAAGGGCCCAGATGACAGCTACAGCTGTGGTTCTCAGCAGGGGTACCAATCCCAGGGACATTTTGGACATTTGTGGAAATATTTCAGGGGCAGGAGCCAGAGGTGTGAGGGAGTCCTGCAGTGCTCAAGACACTCATGCACATCACACAATCTCCCCCATCCCCAATGACTTTCTAATATCTTACAAACATTCTTGCAGGCTAAAAACTATTTTATAATTATCTGAGCCTAGAACTTAACTAACTATGTAACTGAAAATAATTATATAACTATGTTACATGTAAAGACAAAGCTTTTTTTTTTTTTTTTTTTTTGCATGATTTGGAAATACACTGAATTTTTCCAAGTACTGTGTAAATCAAGGAACAATTGTATTTTGTTTTGTTTGGATCTTTAACCGGACCTGTTTGATATTTTGAAAATCATGTCCCATCTAAATGCTTCATTACGCTTGACACTTACATATTAACATATACATTTTATCATACACCACTTTCATTTCTACTTTATATTACAATCAGATTATGTTAATTTTTTACAGTGACTTGTATAAGTTGATTATATTAACTACAAATATTTTTAGTATCATAAAAGGGATACTACAAAATACTCATTACCAAAAGATCTTGGGTCTAATAGGATGAACAATTACTGAGCCGAAGGACAGAAAGCTACCATCTGAATCATCCTTGACCACACAGCAGGTGCCGCAGAAGTGATCTGAACTGAGAGTGGTCCCTGCCTAGAGGACCATCAAAAAAGTAACTGTAGCCAATGAGGCAGTTTTGCTATTTAGTGACTGCCACTTTACTTATGAGAAGAATTCTGATGAGGGTTGCTTCGTTTTCAGTACGTCAACTGTAGAACATAATTGACCTTACATCACATAATATGATGCATTAAATTCTTCCTCCTACTAACTCCATTTAATACGAATGTTTCGGTTCTACTGAGGAAAGAATCAAAGTGCAAAAAGAAATTATTCTATATTTTTCATCATAAATAGCATTTCTTTCCACTTGTGCGCTCCCAGCCACGCTCCAGCCACAATGGATTGATGTTCCCTCCTGAGCAATGTACTTCCACCATGCATGCTCTCCTGCATTGCTGCCATGGCCTTAGTTGATCTCCCTGCCTCCATTCTCCTGCACTCAAATCCACTATCCGCACACTGCAACATTTTAAATACATCAGACTGTGCCTTTCTCTGCTTAAAACCTTCCAATGGGCTTCTCATCGCATTAGAATAAAATCTAAGCACCTTACTCTAGACTTCAAGACTCTATATAATCAGGCTTCTAATAATCTCTCCTAATTCATTTATTGCCACTCTCCCCCTTGATCGTCATTCCCTGTCATCCTTTACCCTTCTTGCTGTCCCTCAAACACACCAAGCTCACCTCCACATAAGGGTTGTGCCTTATCATTCTCCTCTCTGTAAGGTTCCCTCCCCGGGTCTCTGCAGGGCTGGCTCCTTCCTACTGAATGACAGGTTTGGTTTAAATGTCATCTTATCAGAAGGTGGCAACCCAATCCAAAAGAGCACTCCTTCCCAGACACTCCCCATCACATCACCTGATTTTACTTTCGACATAAGATTTACCACTAATTGATATTTTTGTTCATGTATTTATTCGTGATCTGCTTCCAACAAGGCTCCATGAAAGCAGTGACTTTGTCTTTTCTGTACATTATTCTACTGCTGGCAGGGTTGTCCCTAGAAAGGTGTGAACTCAGAGCAGTTCAATCAGTACGTGGCCCAGCCAAGACAATCACACCTGAAAAGGGGCCTCACTGTCAGCATCTTCAAGCCCCTTGAAATATCACTAAAGATAGACATTTTAAAATTGAACTTCAATGATGTTCAGAGACAAGTGGTGAAGTGCAGCATCCTGGATGCTGCCCCTAAACCTGTGGAACAATGCTTAGGACATAATGGGTACCTGGTAAATGCTTCTTGAATGAATGAACATGAGGACTAAAGTAAGTTAACTTGCATAAGTGCCAGCTTATGTTAGCCACTCAATAAGCATTAGTTACCCTCTTTGAGACTCAGTTTCCACACTATTAAAAAAAAGGAGGAGAGAGACTAAATGTTCTCTAAAAGCTTTTCCAACTCTTACCCTTCATTCATTTTTCAATTTATTTTCATTCATATATTAAAAAAACACTTCATTCATTGAGAACCTCCTATGTAGTAAGACTTATAGACACTGGATGTATACTAGTGAAGAAGGTAAATATAATCAACGCCTTCCTGGAGCTATAGTCTATAAGTATTAAACAATTATACAAATAAATGTATAGTTAAAAATTAAGCTCCATAAGGGTAAATTGCTAGGAATAAAGAGATAGAGAGGGTAGGAAGACAGGAGAGAAGATGGGTGTAATTTCTTTTTTTTTTTTTTTTTTTTTTTTTTGAGATGGAGTCTCGCTCTTGTTGCCCAGGTTGGAGTGCAGTGGCACAGTTTGGGCTCACTGCAACCTCCGCCTCCTGGGTTCATGCGATTCTCTTGCCTCAGCCTCCCAAGTAGCTGGGATTACAGGCACCCTGCCACCACATCTGGCTAATTTTTGTACTTTTAGTAGAGACGGGCTTTCACCATGTTGGCCAGGCTGATCACCTGACCTCAGGTGATCCACCTGCCTCAGCCTCCCAAAGTGCTGGGATTACAGGCGTGAGCCACTGCACTCAGCCAATGGGTGTAATTCTAACATTAATTCTCTGCTTCATTTACTAGTCTCATCCTGGCCTTCTTCATCAATGCTTCTCTTACAATGCTCCCTGTGATGGGCATAATCCTCCCACCTTTGCTGGTCAAAAACAGACTCTGCCTCCATCCAGAAACTCTGAAGTACAACCTGCAAATGGAAAGTGATGTGCCAATTTCCCCAGCTATCACTAGCAACAAAAGACAACTTTCTCCTGAAGCCTATAGTATCGAGTTAAGAACTCTTTTTTTTTTTTTTTTTTTTTTTTTTTTTTGAGACAGAATCTCACCCTGTCACCCAGGCTGGAGCGAAATGGCTGTCTTGGCTCACTGCAACCTCTGCCTCTTGGGTTCAAGTGATTCTCCTGCCTCAGCCTCCCGAGTAGCTGGGATTACAGACATGCACCACGAATTCAAATTCTAGGGTCAGGCAAGGTTGGGTTCAAATCCCTGCTCCACCACTTACCAACTATGTGATCTTGGGCAAATTACGTAAACTACTTAACTTCAGTCTCCTCTTCAAGAAAATGTAAAAACTGTCATTGCACCTGCCCTTTAAGACTACTCTGAAGACGAATGACAAAGCCATGTATAATGCACAGCACAGCACCTGACATTGCCTACCATTACCAGGATTGCTCTCTGACACCAGCCCAGCAGTGGCCCCAGAACTGCTCTGGCTTCTGTAAACATCATTATGTTCCTACCAGGAACAAACACCTAGATTCCTGATGTGATGTTCTATACAGGAGGTCTTTCCTTTTCCCTCTTTCCTTTCATATGCTTTTGGCTAGATCTTGTCACTGCATCTAAATGATAACTGCAAATTATTATTCCTGTGTTTAGCAAGAATTTAGATAAAAGTAAGAGGCTAGAAAATTGAAAGTGAGCTCATACCCTATCTTTAGAATCACAGGAATAAAAATAGACTGAAACAGGGTTAGACAAATAAATAGAAGGCTATGAAGCTTCTCAAGACAGTCTCTCTGGTGTGGTCACTTTCTAGAAATCCAAACTGCTACCCAGAGTGAAAATGTCAGCACACTAAGAGGATGGTACAGCAAGAGCCTAGGCTAGAAATAATAAACATATTCACAGGCTGAACAAGTCTTATAGGTCAAGGGAAGTATTTGAGAGAACTCAGTGTTCTTAAGAGTTCATTACACAGACAGTGACATCACCAATGGCATCAATGAACTTCTCCCCCAAAAAGGAAACAAATGAGACTTCAAAAGAAGTAACAATTGTAATAACAACATTGGCTGGAGGAATATCTAACATTTTTAGAGCATGTCAGAATTGACAGTGTGCTTCCAGATACAGGATCACATTTGATTCCCTCTTTACAGATAAGGAAACTGAGACTCTGAGAGTTTGATCTGTCATGATGCCACATGGCTAGTGATACCACATGGCAAAGTAGGAATTCAAAACCAAATCATCTGACACAAAAGGTCCTTCCTTGCTAATGCCTATAAAAGTATAAAAGCATTGCTAGAAAAGTGTGAAATATTGCTATAAAAGCATTGCTATAAAAGTACAAAAGTAAGCTCTGTTAAGTGAATGGGGGCCCACGAGAATAGACTTGAATATACCTGACTTACCCCAAGTGAAGGTATTTATCTCAGAGGTTAACAAAAAGAAAGCATCAAGCTCACTGTGGAATAGGATCACGCTGCCCCCCTGTGTCCATTCCCTTTTCCCACCTTTGCAAACTGAAGAACAGGAAGGGTCTCTATTTCTTGGCAGCAAAGATCACTGGACTTCATTCTTTAGCAGTAAAGCCATATGCACATCTAGATATCATTACTTGTATTATTAATTTATTTGTACTATTAATTTAATGATCACAACATGTCTTTTGAGTATG